CATTTAGTAATGAAAAATTTTTGCTAAGAAGTATTCTAGCATTTATTGTTTCTAAACTTCTCCTCTACGTTTCCAGCTGGCACTATTAACTAAGGCAGTTTTGGTGCTGAATCAGCAGTGAGGTTTCAAGTATGGGCAAAATACCAGCTGCTGCTGGGGATTTCACCACATTCTTCTGAATGCTGATTTCTTCCTTATAGCAGCAAAGCTTCATGAAAAAGTGTGTTGACCTAAAAGTCTTGTGTGTGTATCTGTGAGAGCATGATGACCTCAGCCATCATCAACAAGTGAGGCTGTAATGCCTTGTAGTATGCTCTTGAGGTAAGTTCTTAAGTAAGGTAAGCTAAACATTCCCTTAAGGAATGGCAAGTCCAACTGAAATGGAGTGATTACTCCGCTTTTATACAGATATCAGGCAATTGCCTTTTTATCCTAGGACAGCTGGATGTGCTTCAGTGGTATTGGTAAGCAATTGGTAAGCAAAACTGATGCATTTGTGTTTAAGTGCTTGCGAGAAAGTACTGGTGTTTCCAGTTAGCCAGTGCTAGCTAATGCTAGCTTTGAACACTCAGCCGCTGATCTCCCAGTGAATTGCTTCACACTGTCAATCCATATCCTGCTTCATCATTCCCTGTTCAGATGACGTGCCACCATTCTTCCTGTAATCAGTTTCTAAAGGTTATTTCCATCTCTATGCTGATGTGAGTAAAGCATATAAGTTTGCACCTGCTGATTTCTGACAACAGTGAGGCTTTTCCAGTAATATTTCTAACAACTTCAGCTTTCATCTTGTTTTCCGTGCAAGAGATATGCAAGGGTCTTTGGCAGCATCATATGTCAAAGGCTTCAGTTTTCTTCCCCTCAGCGGAATTAGCTTCCCACAATTTCTGTCTAGAGTTTGCTGTAGAAACTATGAAGATTTTTGCCAGTCAGGCTTTCAAATGATTCAAGATGCAGTTATTTCCAGCTGGTCTTAAGGCAGGTGTAAAAATCGTTGAGTCAACACCTGCATTCCACATTACAGCCAATTTTTTAATATCTCTGCAACAATCTCCATTAGATATATATGATCCTATATAAGTGAATTCAGCTATTGCATATCGATTTGCCATTAATTATAAAGTTTCTTATGTGCTATTTTTTAAGTCAGTGTCCAATGTATGTTTCATGCTGCTTTTAATGACTTAATTTCATCTGATAGGGTTCAGCCATTTATGAGTGTAGAGCTTGGGGGAAAGTACGTTATTTTACCTGTGTTAAAATACTACCTAGGCAAGGAGACCGGAGGTAGTATCTAAGAACAGTAATGAAGTGCTCTGTCGGCTGCTCCAGTAGTCAGGACTTGGGATGTTAGGTTGTGAGTGAGGTGCACCAAGACTAAATAATGTATATTTGATCTATACCTTTCCATTATCCAAAAGACAAGAAAGAAGTATTCTTCTCTGGTTCTGGATTTCTGGCTGGGAATATTGTGATTTGATTACATCGTATTGGATGCTCTGATCTTACCTAGGATAACTGCTGCTGTAGAAAAAAACCACTTCTCTACCGAGTTCCATGCAGAGTTGAAATGGTTATCCTTATGGATTACAAGAAGAGATAAAGTCAACAAAGAAATTCTATTTTTGTGGCTGGTGTGAGCACACTTATTCAATTACCATGGCAGACGAATGGAATATACTATCTAGCTTTTAATATTTGGCAAATTCTGAGCCATGCAATCCAAGTGGTATTGGAAATTCTACAGGTAATGTGGAGTTAAAGGACGCAACTCACCAATGTTTATGCTTTCAAAATCAATTCCCTATAGCCTGGAGCAGCTTCACCCTGATCAGCCTCAATGTCAGTAAAGGGGACCAAATCCCTCCCACAGTGGGATTTTTAACAAATTTGGCTGCAGAAATAAGTTCATCAGAAACTGTCAGAAATGGGATTCTGTTTGTACTCAGAGGAATCTATAAAATGAAGATTTTGCTCTGTAGGTGGTTTTAGGCAAAGCATTTTTATTTTTTTTTTAAATTTCTCCTTGGAACATCTTCCATATGCTAGAATATTTAAAGTGTATTTTTAAATAGTGACTGGCAATCTGTGAAACACCATTTTAGCATGAATGAGGTCATATGCTACTAAAATACTACTTATACTAGGAAACTGAGATGAATTGAAAGTAGCACAGCTAAAAAAGGGAAGGCAACAGGTGTTTTATTAGATAGCAGATATTGGCTTTTTTTACATCTGTAGAATAACTGATACTTCATCCTAAAAATTGTTACAAATTTGCATGTTTCTACTACTGAATATTAGTAAGTCCCAGTGTTCCTAATTTAGAGTGTTTCTTTAAGGTGTTTTTTGACGAATAAAACATGATATCCTCTTCTAGCATATCACCAGTTTCACAATGTGATACAGGATCGAAAGAATTTTGCTTGGGTACCAGGCATCTGATGACTAAGAATATGCTAGAAACGAAACAGGGCAGGCTGTGCTCCTGCACAAAAAAAAACGGAGTTATCAGCATTCTGTAATTCTCACAGAGATGACTGTGAGGTGTATGTGCAGCCTGTTGTAAAGAAGTATTTTTTGTGTTGGAATAAATGGGAGAGTAATTTTCTTAGATACACAGATTTCAGTCACCTACTTAGTGAATACGAGAAGTGGGACTTATCTCTACCCAAAATTTACAATGCCTTTGACTATTAATTTGAGGAAGTCACGGAAGTGAAGCACCCTGGACTTCAATTTCCCCGTTGTTTAAAATTGAGATCTTCCCTAGTTTATTGTTATAAGGTAACTTAGAGAGCCTTTTAAAATGTGCTGTGTAAATCTATGTTATTGGGGGTTTTAGCACGGTAGCCCCAATAATAAATAGATGATAAAACAGTCAAATCATTCATCCTGATGCTTCAAATTTAATGTTCTGTATACAGAATGCTATAATATTCTCACATTTTAAAAATACACTACCTTCCATAAAGTAGTAGCTTCAGGTGACTAATCATTGTGTAGAGCATGGAACTGATATTTAAATGCAAATCAGCGGCCTTTTGGTTTGTGCAGTTTTGGTATCTTAGCACATGATTCATAGCTCTCGGGAGCAGCACACCCCTTAGAAAAGGAGTATGCATATTAAGTGAAGCACAGGTAATTCAACCTTTTTTTGTAAAGTGTGTATAATAATACAGATTTAACTAGAAACACTGACATTTAAAAAACGTGTATAGAATGGATACAAAACATAAAATGATTATGAACTAAATTTGCAAATGCACGTACTATTTAAACTGAGTACAACTGAAGTGTCAGTCTGGAAATGCGGAGTGTCAGAGCCATCTGGAAAAACCACCCCTGGGTTATTCAGCCATCATTTCTGTCTAAGACCCCTGCTGTCATGGCTATTGAAGATTTTGCATGTCTTAAGATTTTACGTAGAGAGCCTTTTTTAGGCTCTACTGTAATGGCATGTAATGAAGGCACTCATACCATCTAAATACCATCTGTCCATACAAAGCAGAAGAGGATCTTACGATTTGGGGGAAACCCTGGCTCCGTGGAAACTGAAGCAGAATATTTTCAGTGACTTCACCCTTCACCGGAGCCAGGATTTTCTGTATCTTCAAACAAATACTTTCACAGTAATTGGACCTGGAGCTGGAGATCAATATCAGCTGCTGATGGTATTGAGCTGTAGAATGTTATTTGCAATAATGGTTGTGATCAGAGATAAATCTCTCTCCCTCCCCTTCCAAAGGAAACATATAGAAAGGAACCCTCAGTCTTTTCAGAAACACATCAAGAGAAGAGAAAATGGTCAGCACAGTCAGAGGCACAGCCCCACTTTTCACTAACTCTTCGGGGCAGAGCCCATAGTCTCCTCTGAAATCACACTGCAGTTAAAAAGACAGCCTCACCAGATACCTAACTAATGGTGTAGCTGTCTGATACCCTCCTGGGTCATTGCTGGGGGAAAGGCAGTGTGGGTAGAATATCTTTGCAGTTTAGTCATTTCAAAGTATGAAAAAGGTCTTTTGAGGCCACAGGGGCAACTGCTGGCTTCCTGAGATTTGCACTGATTAGATCAATCCTGGGCTAGGGCCAGAAGGTGAGGGGGTGAGGAAGGATGAAAATTTGACTTCAGACCTCCACATCTCTATTTGTCCTGCAACCTCTCTGTATCTCAGCTGAGCCAAGAGAATCTTCTAGCAGTGTGCATATAGAGGAGATCTGGGTTAGCTAATTTTAAAATTTAAAAATATAAAATATACCTTTGGAATACATTTTGTAATATAAAAGGAGGAGAACCCCCTTTTCAAGCACAGAACAATAAATATGAAGATATTCTGTGGTTTCATTCCGTAATTGTTCTCCATTTTTCTCCATTTGTTTTAATGGCTGTGATAGCAGTCAATCAAAGAAGTCACGTTAGCAGTACCTGTGCATGACACAGCTACAGAAAATAAAAGTTTCAGCTGAATAAATTCATCTCTCTTGTGATACTTCAAGATTTATCTATTAATTGCTTGCCTGTGGTTTCAAGACTGACAAAAGCTATCCGAAATCGCACTAGGAAATCCTCTGAGTTCAGTCAAATCTCTGATTTAGTCAGCTTCAGCTATCACTGCCATCACCAGCTCATCTATAAATACATCTGCTTTCGCAGCGTACGCATTCTGAAATTTGCCCGTTGCCTCCTCAGAAGTGCAGGGCTATCATCTGCTATTAAGCAAGCCCGGCTTGACCAAAGCCAGCTTGAACCTAGCCTAACACACCAAGCCCATCCCTTGTTGTTAGCTTTGATAGTCACTGCTATCATTTGATAGTTCGCTTGTAGCCAGTCCAAGTTGGCAGTGTCAGCCCAAGCTGATTGGAGCCGCAGACATTTTTGCTGACTGGAGTCATGCTATCTTTGCCAGTTTGCTGGAATAGACACAGACACTGATTGGGTCATGCTGAAAACATTCCTGTCCTATGAAGCAAGTCTGTTTGTATTTTAGGTTTGCCAGGACTAATGAATTAAAAATCTTGGGCTCGCCACAGTTTGCTGCTTAATAATGCCTGTGACAGAAGGATTTTTTCCTCCCTGAAGCGTGACAGCATCATAATCCCTCATCACTGGCACGGAGAGGAAGGAAAAGCGGAATTGTGGAGAAAAGCGGAAAAGGGTGATCTTTTGGGACAGCAAAGCCTATGGGAAGTGCAGGTAGCAGCATGTTGCCCTGACAGCTGTCTCAGCTTCTCAGACCTTGTCAGTTTGTTGCTATGCAGCAGGTGCAGCCTTTTCTTTTATTGAAGCTTTACTCCATAAAGGCAACGACAAGCCAAGGCAGTGGCTGGCCCTGGATTATACAAGTGCAGACACTCCGCTAAGTGAGGTAAGGCAACAGGTGTGAAAACTGAACTAAATTGATAGAGCGGTAACAGCACTTAATCTGAGTTCTGCTGCAGGTTTTTTATGGAGAAACAGCAGCCAGTTCTATAGGCAATTGTTGTGAAGAAGGGAGCTGCTCATTAAATCTCGTTAAATTCCAGGTTGCCCACTCACCTTCATCTCTGCCTGCAGAGATCTTGTTCTTCATGCATGGAGAAAGCAGGTGGGGAATTGGGGGCAGTCGGTCTGCGTGTTTCCTGTATCACCTCATTTGCACATGGGCTGCTTCCATCCCTCTCCTTTCCCTTTGATTGCTTTTTGTGATGAAGAGCTTGAAGATTCCGCACAAAAAGGAGCGAAGGGATAAATGCAACATAAAAAAAAAAAATGGATAGCAGGGTAATTGCTGCTTATAAAGATGAGATTTGTTTTTGTGGATTGGAATAAAATGAAAATGCTCTTTGGTGTTATGATAGAATTCCCTGTTGCTTATTGAAGGGGTATTGATTTTTGCCCTCATATAGTAGGTGGTTAAAAGAGTAATTTAAAGACATCGCAGACAACAGAGTATGTGACTGGGATAAGACAACAGATTTATTCCTAGCAACATTGTTATGGCAACTTTAAAACATCTAGCAGGATGCATCATTTTAATTTCTTAGGCTATGATATGAAATGTTAAGTATACTTTTATGTGGAAGACCACTTGAGATGCTACGCAGATGTCAGGAGAAAGTGTACCACCAACACAGAATGATAAACAAACAGCCTTGTTTCAAGGATGTGTTTATCATTTAAAATCTCTTCTTTTTTTTTTTTTTTTTTTTTTTTTTTTTTTTTTTTTTTTTTTTTTTTTTTTTTTTTTTTTTTTTTTTTTTTTTTTTTTTTTTTTTTTTTTTTTGCTTTACCTTGTATTGGGAGATACGGAAGGGAAATATGACAAAGAATTTTGGATTAGTAGTTCTGTTTTGGTTTTTTTTTTAAAACAGTGAGAGGTCTCAGATGTTTCATATAAAGTGACAGTCTGGGGGGAAAAAAAGATCAATAATGCTCAGAAGGTAAAAGTTATTTAGTCTAATGCAATGCACTTAAAAATAGAATATTTCAGTTGACTCCAGGGATCTTTTCCTGAGCCCAAAAACATACACTGCGGCAGTTTAGTCGACTTTTCCTTGTCTCTGCCCAATACATATCAGTTCAATTTTTGTGTGTCTTGATTATTAGTAATGGGGAGTAAAGAACGATTCCCGATATCCTGTATCTATTAGTACAAAGAGACACTCTCAGGTCCAAATAAGATTTGTTCAAAGTAATCATTTTAGAATATTTGTTGTTATTTTGAGAAAAGATTATGCACTTCAAAGAACAATTTCTTGTGTAGCATTGCTACAGAGTAACTGTGTCACTCTGCTAGCTAAATATTAAGACAGACAAAGCAAATAAAAAAGAAATGCTGAAATTAATGGGCCAAATGCAAATTTGATACTCTTTCACTGATTGCAAGGCAGTGATGCCAGGGAAGAGTTTGATTCACTTGTGCATCACCAAGAAAGATTATAATCCTGAAATATTGTTCTGTTCTATTGACTTTCTGACACTGCCAAATAATTAAGTGTAAATTAGAATGAATTGTTGGGATTTCCTTGCAACACAATAGCTACTTCACTGAAAAACTGCAAGACTATTGGCTTAGGAATCCATCTTTTCTTTTCATTAGCTAAATGCCATGTTGTCTACTGACATGTGGTACAACTTTTACTAAATTAATTGTATTTTCCTGAAGAACTTGGTTTCTAATTGACTGAGGAGTTTTTATGGTAATTTAAAAGCGAGTCTCTTAATTGTCCACATAGTTGGTATGGATACAATGCACTCTGGATAGCATAGTCTTCAGTCCTAAAATAACTTCTTTATGGGCAGATCTTTTGCATGCATGAAGTCCCACTGACTTCATGTTCTCCACACATGGAGCTAATCAGAAGATTAGTATCTGTGAATTTTAGCAGCTTTGTGCTAGGTATACAAGGAGATTAAGTTTGCGTTCAGCTATTCAATAGTTTAACCAAAACTGCTTATTCAAAAGGTTAAATATACATGGTAGAGCTCTGAGTACAACTTTTGAGTGTTCAGAGATGCTTTAATTATACCGTTACAGATCAGTAGTAGCTAATTCTTTTGTTGCTCGATGATTCTTTAGTGCCCTGCTTGAAATGAACTAGCAGTTTTCTTAATGGACAGGGTTTCATCTCAGTAAAACCACTTTTTGGAGTTGGTGGTCTCAGAAGAAAGACCGAGGACTGAATAAGGTCCCAATCCGGGAGTCAGACCCATGCAGACAGACCCCTTCACCTGCACAGAGTTCCGCTGAAGAATCACCACCAAGGTTTGGAGACCCAGTAACTTTCTGACCATTAAGTGTGTGACTATCAGGCACAGTTTGACTGGGGGAGTATGGGTGGAAGGCAGGAGGATGGGTGCCTCCTCATTGACACCATGTGGAGTGGTGTGCACGTTTCCAATCACATGGCAGGCTTGGGGTCATGTTACTCTCAACTCCCCACCCCTTCTTCCTTCTTCACCTTCAGAACCAGGCAGCATTGCCACGAGTCAAGGCTTGCTGAAGGGGCAATGGCGGGGAGCAAGCAGGTGAGGAGAGGGGAAGCTTCCTTTGCCATTGTTCTTTCTAATCTGTGAATAGCAAAAGAAAGGCAGTCTCTGCACTGTATTTCACTTGAATCCTTTTTAAATGGAAAAGTGAAATGGTGCTTCCTTGATTTTGATTCTAAACGTTGCTTTGCTAGAATGAGAAAGGTAGCTGTGAATGCATGAAAAGCATTAAAACTCATTTGTTGAATGGTGTCACATGCTCTGTAATAAATATATTGTTTGTATTATTGCAGCTGGAACAAACAAGTAAAAGCATTGACTCAAGTGCCCACATGATCACCACCGCCAGGGTACCTGCTGATAAGCCAGTACGAATTGCCTTCAGCCTGAATGACTCCCCAGGTACAGTTTAATTTATGGAGTAAACCACAATGAAGTAATTGCTTTTAAATTTTACATGTTCTTACCAGTGTTTACAATATCAAATGAAGTTCAGTGTTATGGGAGGATTTTTTTCCTGAGTGATAGCATGTGATCACTTTTTCTGTCTGATAACTTTTAATGTTTCCATTAACAATTTCATTAGACTAAACCCCCTAGGCTGACAGTTTAGATCTTAGCTTTCTTTCAGCGATTTGTGGAATATACTTAGGACTGTAATTAACTATCAAATTTACTTGTATATGCAATGTGTCTTATTTTAAGGAATTTTAAGACAAGAAAAGTAAAAGGACGTTTTGTACTGAGGATGAGGCTAGAGCAGGAAGAGACTTTCCCTTC